ACATGCACAGAATAAAATAGTGCATGAAGCTTACCTGATCTGCTGCTGAGACATGACAAAGTGATAAAGCTTTGAAAGAGTGACAAAGGAAGATGTATGAAAAAGTAAAAGCAAAAATCAGGTGATGTAGGTTCAGGTGTTCTTCAGTGAGGTGAATGAGCAGAGTCCTAGACAGAGAAAGCAAAGGGAGTTACTAAGTAGGTTTCCAAGTAGTCACAGACCTTACAGAGAAGCTTATTCCACCCACGAGGGACTTTAGGTTATCTATGTGCCGCACAGTCACAAGACCATGATGCAGCGGATGTGCTATACTTGCGCTATGAGTAGTGCAACCCGTGGGCGTGTTTAAGCTCACATACCGCACTCCATATATGGGCGTAACCGTCTTTCATAAAGTTAAGATTCAAATCTGGCGGCTACTGCTGAATTTCTAAGTAACTCTTTCTGAAGGCCGAGGCATAAAATATAGATACTTTGTATGAATGTGAGTTACGAGGGATAATATCGATGCAAATATACGAGATGACGTTTCCATGCAAATATATCCCTCTACCGAGCATTTTAATTGCATTAAAAAATATAATTAAAAAAAATGCACTGGCCAATGGAGTTTATACTATTTATAATACACGCTTTGGGTAAAAAAAAAAAAAGATATTGACTACCGCATTGTTTTCAGTTCCACATAAAGAAAGTGGCTTTTGAAGGCTACTGTCATTGAGACGCCCATTCATTCGTCAACATTATGAGAAATAACGAATAAACTGGAGACAAAGAATCAAGCAGTGAATTTAAAACCATTTCTAAACTAATTGAATATAGATTATTACGGATCAACTTACCAAATAAATGATCTCGCAGTAGTTCTTGTTTGATTGTTTCGAGCGAATAGTCAGTACTTCTGTCTCTTCCGCTAGTTGAAGCGCTAATAAAGCTGAGGGTCAGAGTAGCTGGAATTTTCCACTGGCTTTTTTTAAGGGGCTGGCGCTTATCTGACTGCCGCTTGATTTAAAGCCAATCACAAGTTTCTATATTGTTACTTTATTTTGATTGGAAGGTAGATACATCAATAATTAGCTGATTCACCAATTACAGCTTTACACTGCTTAAGCCCAAAAAGAAAGAAGCTATTTTTTTGTTAAGTTTAAACATTCAGTTTTTCAGAACCAAAACCTCACTGTTAGATTATTTAAAACTGGTCTTTGTTGGGAGAGATTACCCCATTCTTAGTAAAGAAGTCCTTCCCCATGTCTCAGAATAATCTCAAGTTAAAAGTGGATTAATCCTATTAAAGTCGCCATGGCTTTGAGATTTGTGAAATGTGCTGTCCGACTGCTAATGGTGTTATTTGATTCGATTCGATTCGATTCTACTCTATTCTAGCACCCAGGGGCAACTACGGTGCTTCTTTAAATGACTGAACTTGCTTTTATTTAATCACAATTAACCACTGTTTTCTGCTGAGCAGATCAAGATGTTGAACATAAAAAGCATCATTAGTTCAAAAAATATATAATGAATTGTTTATAAAAGCTCATGCACTGAAATATTTATAAATTCTGCTTTCTATTTTCTAATATTGCCACTCACGGTCAGGATTTTCTCTTTACTTCCCTTCAGCAAGATAGCTGTGGGTGGGAAAATGTACCCCTTTCTCTTATCAGTCTTAGAATAGGTTGAACATGCTGTGATGAGCAGGTCTGACTGTGTCCAGCTGGATGAATCAGATACAGAGTCATAATTTGCTGACGAAGAAAAGGTATCTTCATCAATAAACCCATATTATAGTCATAAAAGTTTTTCTTTATGGTAAAATAAACGTGGCCTTAAAGTTTAAATGGGAGACACAAGACAGCATATCAAATTACTCAAAGGAATGTTTCCCGGTTTTAGTCAGAGCAGTGCATTCTACAGACAAGGCTTCAGGTTTTTACAATGTATTTTTTAACCACATAATTTGGAAAATTCCGGAGTGAAAGATCTAGAGGCTTTAAAGTTGTGGACACATCCCCAAACCAGGAAGTCGTTTACCTCTAACACCTACAGCCAAAAAAATAATAGTGGGAGGTGCATATACCTTGCATGTCATGTCAATTTTGGCAAGCGATTGTCTCTTTCGTAACCACTATATAGTCATTTCTTCTCTGCTCACTGTTCACTGTAATAACTTGTAACAACATGCCCTAGTGATGATCATCTGGTCACTCAGTGTTGTTAAAAATGTGAAGTTCAATCAGACATATTAGCGTTATTGAAACAAATAAAAAATAGTTTTTCTGAGAACCTGTAATATAGAAAATCCACAGTCTTTTATACAGGCAACGTGATGTGAAACTATATTATAAGAAGAAAGAAAAGCTTAAGGAATCACCAAAGTCAGGGGGATATGTAATATCTATAGCACGAATAAAGATATTTCACAGAATAAGTACAAAGTCATTTTGGAACGAGAAGTAAATTTAGAATAGAGGAGCAAGTCAGTGGAAAAGGTCACTAGGACAAATCATAATACTTTCTTTCATCATGCTCAAAACAGTTGAATGAAGATAAAAAGACGAAAAAAAGACAACATCACATAAACCTATTTCTGTACAAATGTGTTTTAAGAATTGGTCTGAACAGAGTGACTGATTCTACAACCTTTGCAATCTAATTTTATACTAAACTGAAGTGTTTGACAAGCAGACCAACCACCAATGACTTTTCCTGGACCCACTGGTGATTCCATTGCTACAAAAAGTTCTCACATTTTATCTAGCTGAATAAACACAACACAAGCAAAACTTTATGGTTTGTCTGAATGAACGCGTAATCGGTATGTGCACAACATAGCTGGTTGCTTTGGAATGCTGACAGAGGCAAATTCCATGCTTTTATCCGTTAGGGTATTCAGGTTTTCAAAACTACACCACTACAAATTTTCAGCCAAGCACATCAGACCATTGTGCCATACCAGACTGATTATTCTGGAGTCATGTCTGGTCAATTTTTAATACTAACAAAGATAACTCTATGTGATAAAAACATTTTACCTTCTCAACACATCAAAATTAGGAGGGGTGGGAGTGGGAGCATATGTAGCACAATATTTCATATTTAGTGACAAAGTCAGGACACTGAAATGCCTCATCCCAAAATGGATAACACTGCGCCATTTTGTCAGCTGACTTTTTGCAAGGTTAAACAGAGTATCAGGTTGTGGGAAGCTGTACAAGCTCAAAGCCGACTAGTGGCTCAGAACACCTGTGTCATTGTTGTGTAAACGTGTCCCACTTCCTTGTTTTCCCTTCATAGAGATAAGAGCGTCATATCCTGTTCTTACCCCAAAATTCAAAATGCTCCAAGGTTACTTCAAGATTTGAAACACCATAATCATGTCAACCATTAGTGTAGTTAAACTTCTTATAAGGGGTTATGTTGATGAATAAAAGTGAGAAACAGCCTTTAAAGGTCTTTAAATCAGATGTTTTGTTGGCTTTTAGGTCACAGGACTTCTTTTATAGTTCATGTTATACTCAGTTCTCTTTAAAAGGTTGTAAAGTGTTGAAATCAGTGAGGGCTGCAGAGCCAATAAAAAAAACTTCCATCAGTGCAAAGACATTTTAAACAGAAGCTATCAGAAAAAAGAGAAAGCCTGTTATATATGTAAAGACTGAATATAAGATCATGAAAGAGAAATGTCAAAGAGCTCCACATGAAAGACTTATCATGCATTCTCACACTCTGAATTGCTGAGCTATAAATAAGCTGCAGCTGTCCCCCAAAATTTCCACTGTGCACTGGAAAATACACATATAAACACTGCATCAAACTGATAGTTACAGTGGACAAAGTCACACATTAAATTTGGTTTTGTTGAGTCTTCTAGTTATATTGTTTCCAAAAAAATCTAGTAACGTATTTTAACAACCTCAAGGACAAGACATTTAACCCTTGTCTCTATAAACTGTCAATAAAAACCAAATGCAAAAGTTTGCAAATCTTTTAAAGGTGACAATATTTTTGTTTAATAATTAAAATGGTTTTAGTGGGTCAATGGTAATAGACTGTAGGCTTACCACATTAGCTCCCAGTCACTTCTTTCATTAAGGCGTTCTTTTGGAACATATGTAGACTCTGGTTTAGCTTTTTTGTTTTGTTTTGGCTTACCCCGAAAAAGACTTCATGTTAGGACGGTGTTGCAAGACCTGTATGGGCGTTGAGTATTAATGGTGCCTGAACTGGATAAGCAATTAAGAAAAAGAAAGATATACTGATGACTCACAGTGTAAGAACCCATCACCACTTTTACTTCTAGAATATTCTGGGATGCATTTTTCATGCCCAATTGTGTCACAAATTAACCTCAACAGTTATTAGAAGTTTCCTAAAGTGTTCACCATCAGCTTCCTTATTCCTTATGCTCGGGTGATCGTGGCTCAAGAGTTGGCAGTTCGTCTTGTAATCAGTTCGAGCCCCGGCTCCAACAATCTCGGTCGTTGTGTCCTTGGGCAAGACACTTCACCCATTGCCTACTGGCGGTAGGCAATGGGTGAAGTGGTGGTCAGAGGGCCCGGTGGCGCTAGTGTCTGGCAGCCTCGCCTCTGTCATTGCGCTCCAGGGCAGCTGTGGCTACAATATAGCTGCCATCACCAGTGTGTGAATGGGTGGATGACTGAATGTAGTGTAAAGTGCTTTGGGATCCATAGGGACTAAGTAAAGCGCTACACAAATGCAGGCCATTTACCATTTATGCTTTCTTTTGAATGTTTTCAGTTAAATATGGGCTTTAAATGATTTGTAAATTATCACATTGACATTTTACACAATGTCATAACTTTTTTGGAAACAGCTTTAGTTGTGTCAACAATTCGTGGTTTTCCAGAATGACTATCAAGGTAAATATAGTCAGTGATGTTGTGAGTGTCATGGCCTTGTGTAGTAAACAGAAAGCTAAAGTCTTACACAGGATGTGATTAAGTCAAGTACTGCTTAGTCAGAGAGCTATTTAGAGACTTTAATTCAGTTGTAATCAGACTGCCCTTTTCCGAGCACAATAAGTCTGAGAGTCACGCTCACAAGAGAGTACAAATGGATATATAACGATGCTGAAAACAGGAAAAATGCACTAGGATCAACCCTCATTGTAAAGTTAAAAGCAAGCCTGCAGCACAGACATATTGGCTAACAAAGGCAGAATTTAAAAAGCTGGTACAATTGGGAAAGGTACAGACGGTACAGATCTGACAGTATATGATGACGCTTGTCTTTTCTCAGAATATGGATGTCATGTACTTCCACAACTAAAACAGTGTTCTTGTTATGGGAACAAGAACATGTGAGTCAAAAAGGGATAACATAGTTGCTGTGGCCAGGATATGGGTAGATACGCCTAACAGGCTTGGTACACTTTGTTCCATCCATGCTGGCTCTGTGTGCGCACTCATCAGTGTCAGTCCTGCATGCACTGCAGTGGCAGCTGAGAGCCACAGGGTAGGTGAAGACAGGGTTGGCTTCAATGGGACAGCCAGGCAGAATAGCAGTGTGGTATTCAACCTTATCATAGGTGCAGCCCCTCTGGACAAGGAAACGTGGGCCAAGAATATCCCTCATGTTGCTGTCCTGGTTATCACATATAAGCACAGAGATCAAACTAAACGAATGACGATTACATAGAATCTAGATAACATTGGGGAAAAAGTGCTGGAAATATTTTTTTATGTGACTATCTAGCTTAAAGTCTGATAACATTGGCTAATAAGAAGTCTGTCTTGATATGTATTTATTTATTTATGTCGAATATTTGCAATAGACAAATTATGAAGTGCCTTTTTTTGGGGGTTTTTTGCCAGCTTTTTTAAAAATTTCTTAGTAATTTACAACATTAAAACCGCAAAGGAAATTGTAAGCTTTCAGTGTAAAGCCCATCCAACATCTAAATAAAGTCTCCAAAGCATTTATAAAACTATGTAAAAAAAATGCTAAAATAAAACTAAATAAAACTATGTAAAAATATGCCAAAAATCACATATTCTTACTACCTTTTAGATATCTCTTTCTAATATTTTGTTTCATATTTCTTGTCATATAATTTTTGATATGGAAAAACGATTATTTACTAAGCACTTCCAGTTTTCAATAACCAAAAACAACATGTAGACTTTTTTTCTTTTTCATTTTTTTTAACATTAGACATACATACCCTTGAGTAGCAAAATCCCATGCAGATGGTTGTGTTTATTGCAACACAGAACTCACATTCTGGCTTTTCCACATACAGGGTGAAATCAGTGGGCAAACACATGGGAACAGCAGGGCTAAACATCAGAAAAAAGAGCCAGCAGTTGAACACTGTAACCTCCATGTTATGTGTCTCAGTCAATCTTAGTCTATTTTGGTCCTGTTTGGGAAGAAAAGGTAAAGAGACCAGTCAACAACATACAAGAGAGATCAGAGGTTTGGTTTCTTGAATATTATTTTCTTACCCTCTGTATGCATGAGTCACCTGCTTGATAGATGTGGGCACTTTCAGGCCTAATGATGCTCTGAGTCCAAACATCTCTGCTAAGCAGTATTTATACAAACATATCTTAATCTATCTTTACATAAACTGCATGTTATCTATCTGTGACAAAAAACGATCTGTTGAATTTTCAGTCCATTATGTGGATTACATGAATAATGATTTCCTTGGTAAACAAAGTTCGTGCATTAGCCATGTGGCTCTGTGCAAAGTAGTCTAAGCTACTGTACACTAGATGTCACAAAACACACAAAAAGCTTATTTTCTGCTTTAAAGAACGCATTTTTTTTTATTAGAGGGCCATTCAAATTTTAACCCGAGATGTTTTCTTTACCAAACAAGCCAATCTGTTACTCATTTATGTAAAAATTAACTTGAAAACTTCTTATAATGCAGAGTTGCACACCGGCAGTGTTAAAGTGACACCAAAAAACATGCAACAATGTGAGTCGCTCAAAACACTCAACAGTCACAGTCCAGAGATGACACTGGTACAACACAATCAAAAAGGGTTATACAACCCGATTTTGTATTACTAAAGCAAAAGTTACTGTAAAGATAGAGAGAATGAATTCCTGATGATAACATCTTTAAAAAAAAAACAAAGGAAGAGTGCAATTCTCACCTTCACTTTGTGTCTCCTTATCTGTAATTTAGTTTAATGATTGTCGAACATAGTCAAAGTCTCGTACACGTTAAGTGATTTTGCAACTGTTTTGAATGCCATTGTTGTGTTTCTGTGTATCTGTAGCCCACTAAGATCAATGCAAATATAAAAATATTAGACAACAAAGAAGTACAGAGCAGGAGCTGGATATACTGATTTCTTTTTCATTTTAGTCAAAAGGTTTTTTTTTTTTTTAGAGTAAAAGTTTTTGCTCTAATTACAGTTACCATTAAAGTATATGTACATGGTTAACCTGCTGTCATCATTTAGTTTATCAGTGACCAGGAATATTGCTCACAAGATGATTACGATACATTGAACATTTGAACAGTAAAATACAATGTTAGCTTCCACCTTAAACTGATCATTCGTTCTCCCCAGCTATTGTTCAAATGCACATACATAAACAGTGAATTTTACATTAACTTTTTAAGAATTTAGAGTAACTGATTCTCTCATAAAAGACGTCTTGAATGAAACCATCCATGAAACCGCTAATATTTAATGAACTAGCAAGTGCAAATGATTACACTTACTTTTTCTCTCTAGTGTGCAGTTTTTTTTGCTGTAGCTATGCTTTTCACTGACACTAGATGTGTGACTTTTGTGCCTTTCTATGCATTACTGGAGAGATAATCAAATACTGAAATGCTAAGTAAGGGATTAGCAATCACATATGACATGTATGGCAAATAAAACACAATGTCAGAAAACCCAAAATATTTAACCCACATTCCTCCTCTTGAAATTCTTAACATGACCAATAAATACTGAATAACCATGAGTTGCACACAGACTCCTCATAGGTGTGTCAACATGTCATTTCTTTTTAATAAGAAGTGACACCATAATAACATTATTTTCTGTCCGAAAAGAATACACCACGTGATAATGTGTCATAAAAGAAGACACACTAGAGGCTCATCAGTTTTTACAATTAGGAAAAATACAGAAGGCTTTACTACTTAGTGTAGTGGCCTTGATAGATTATTAACTAAAGTGAACGAATCTTTATAGTCACTAGGAACCACCAGAGTGGACCAGATTTCTGTCAACAACAAGGGAGACAGTTGAACTACCTCAATGTTCTCATCCATCGAAGAAAGTTTTCTTATAGTTAAAGTGGCTAAGCTGCAAATAATTGAAGACTAAAACCAAGAAAACTCTTGTAAAATCTGAGGAGGTCAAGCTATAACTTTTCCACTACGCAGCGGATTTAAATTTCTGACAATTGATTCTGAAATGCACTGCATGTCAACTGGATTTAAGGGCAATTTCAGGATAATTTAAAGGGGAAGGACTATATTTGCAAGATTGAAAGTTATTGAATTCTGACAGAAGTTCAATATTGTGTGTCAAAGGAAGACCCTTTGCTTCTCCTACTGAATCAACCATGGTGGGTACAGGAGGTCCAGTGGCAACTTTCTCTGTGTGGGATTATGTGGTGTTTGCTGGAATAATTCTGCTGGCAGCTGGCGTTGGCCTATTCCAGGCTTTCCGAGGTCGCAAGGAGGCTAGCAGCGAGGAGTTCTTACTGGGTGGACGGCAAATGACAGCTGTGCCAGTTGCCATGTCGCTCACTGCCAGCTTTATGTCTGGCATCACAGTCATTGGTACACCTGCTGAGTCCTACCGGTTTGGATCTGCTTTCTGGATTTTTGGCTTCGCCTATGCTATCATGTCTGCAATCAGTGCTGAGCTCTTTGTTCCTCTTTTCTACCGACTGGGGGTCACCAGTGCCTATGAGGTAGGGAGATGGTAGAAACACTGGTGAACATATGAATCAGGAAATAACTTAAAATGCCAAAGATCAATAAAGCAAACAACAAAAATAATGTACACAGCTTGGTGCTGGTTAATGAAGGTTACTCATTACAGGTTACTCATTACTTGTTAAAAGTGATTCCAACATAGTATGCAAAGAAATATCTAAAGGATTTTTTTGGAAGTTTTATTTTTAAAAAATACAGTACACAGTACAGCAATCTAGCAAATTTGTGGACCAAAAGATCCTTCTATTGATATCCAGGGTTCGTTTTCATTTCTAGTACCTGGAGTTGCGATTCAGCCGCCCCATTCGGATAATTGGGACATCAATGTACATCGTCCAGACGGTAAGCAAAGAGTTTAAAATGATTAAATATATGATCAATTACTTTATGAATTTTGACTATTAAAACTGAAATTATTTAGGAATGAAAAGTTGAGGAAACACCAATGATTAAAATGTTAAAGGTAAAATGAAAACAGCACCTGCTGTTTTTTTCTGTTTGACTTTATGTAAACCTGTTTCTTCCACTTCCAAGAAAGCATTAATATAAAATATATGCTTGTTGTTTTTCCATGTAATCAGCTAATGGTGACATTTTTCCTCAGGCACTGTATACCGGTTTGGTTATCTATGCTCCAGCTCTTGCTCTAAATCAAAGTAAGCCAAAAACCTCATAAAACACATCTTGATAATTGAAGGACTTTTAGCTTTAAGCCTCACTAAACTGTCACCTGCTCATAAAACTTCTACTTCTTCTTAGTGGAATATTAGTCCTGAGTTAATATACTAATGATTCTTTCATGTTTATCCTATATAAAGGTTTATTTAGAAAAACAACCAAAACCCAAAAACTGAAAAAAAAAAAAAGGATGCAGACAGAACCATAATGAAGCTTATTTCTTATTACTCAGTCACTGGACTGGATCTGTGGGGAGTGTTGGTGGCTACGGGAGTGGTGTGCATCATCTACTGCACTTTGGTTGGTACCATCTAATGTAAAAAAGTATTATATTTATTTAACTAGTTGTTTTAGAGAAGCATGAACTGAAAACGTTGTTACGCCAGAGGATGCTTTCAGCTGGTTTTAAGTTTCAAGATGGCGCCAGTGTGTGTGGCTCGCTGTCTGGCTCTTCCTCTGTTGTGTTTAATTTTCTTTACTTATGCTATTAGCATGTACAGCACTTTGTGAACTCTGGTTTTATGTTAAAGTGCTTTATAAATAAAGGTGGTATGGTATCGTATTTCTAATGATAAACGTTTTGGTTCATTGAGGTTTTAATAAGCAGTTTTTCACTTACATATGACTGAAAATAAAGTTATTGGCTCCTTGATTATTAATAATTGTACACATCCAAACATTATTGTGACTCTTACTAAGGAATCAGCTCGACAGATTCTGCAAAAAACCTTTACAATGTGACGCTTACTCTAACATCAATGTTTACTTCAGGGTGGTCTGAAAGCAGTAATCTGGACAGATGTGCTTCAGATGGTGGTCATGCTGGCAGGTTTTGTGGCTGTTATAGCTAGAGGAGCTGTACTGCAGGGAGGCCTGACAAAGATTTGGGAAGATGCTGGTGAAGGAGGCCGACTACAAGCTTTTGAGTAAGTACACAAGCAGACTTATGTCCAATAGTGAGTGAGTTTATTTTACAATAAAAAACGGGCAGGGTTTTTGAATCACATAAACTGTGATTACTAATTCCAAGGAAATTTACTAAAAATATTTTGCATCCAAAAATAAATATCATGGATGGGAAGCCTGCTAATTGGCTTCTATATGCCATTCCACGTTAGAGGTTTGTGTTGCTGAAGTCCTCAAAGTTAACCTTCAATATATTTTCATATTATTGACATTTCTATCACAGTTTTGATCCAGATCCCCTGAAACGACATACTTTCTGGAGCATAGTAGTTGGCGGTAGCATAATGTGGGCGGCAATCTACGCAATCAACCAGTCCCAGGTGCAGCGTTATATCTCCTGCAAAACCCTGGGACATGCCAAAATGTGAGCGTTCCTGTAATTCAATACAAACAGTACATTGCTGAGTCTGAGCAAAATTTTATGTGCTGACATGTCTTTTTTCATCTTTCAGGTCTCTGTATGTGAATATGGTTGGCTTGTGGATAACTGTAACTCTGGCTGTGTTTTCTGGTCTCACCATGTACTCCATTTACAAGAATTGTGATCCACTATCAAACGGTGATGTTGCCACCCCTGACCAAGTAAGTAAACCTGCAGTTTTCTCTTTAGTCCTCACCACCTTTCCTTTTATTGTGCAACAAAGCATTATGTGTAACAAAACATGGGTTATATTTATCAACCAGCTGTTCCCATACCTTGTGATGGATATTCTGGCAGACTTCCCTGGAATTCCAGGCCTGTTTGTGGCTGCAGCATATAGTGGTACCCTGAGGTGAGAGCCTTAGACATGCAAAAACATGTTATTTTAGAGCTGTGCAGGGATCAAGACCTGATAAATTAACATTCTTAGAAAAGAACTGCCTTTGTTGCTGCCTGAGAAAAAGTCACTAAGTAGTGAACAGGATAATATTTTTGCATTTGCATTACTAGACATAGATAATGCCATAAAGTACCATCTGTTTCCTGAAACTAGCTTCTCTGTGTGTAATTATCATTTTAAATGCATCAGCCTGACTGTTGTGTTCCAAGTCTAAAAGCTTACCTTTGTATATTTTTCAGCACAGTGTCTTCCAGCATTAATGCCCTAGTTGCTGTCACGGTAGAAGACTTTATTCTACCAGTGTACAAAGACCTCACACAGAAGCAAGTGAGCTGGATGAACATGGGCCTGAGTAAGTTGCAGAAACAAAAAACTTCCAAAATAGTCCAAAAAAGCCTTGAAGCAACTGTTGCTGCAATTTGGCGCTATATATATATTAATTAAAGTGAATTGAATTGAAAACCCCGAATAAAAGCTTCATCGTGTCTGTAATAATATTTTTGCAGCACATAGCTTATCTTTTTCTTCTTTATGTCATACAGACAGTTTTTAGTATGGATCAATATGCTGTTTTTGCACAAGGTCACAATGATCTTGTTCCTTGCAGTCCATTTTAAAGTGCTAAATCATTTATGGTAGGAAAAAAACATGATTTCTACTGGCCTCACATCACCTTTGTGGACTTATTTTTCCATAAGTTATGATGATAAATTGAATTATATGAAGAAAAAAAACCCAAATAAACATTTGCTTTTAAACAGAGTTAAGTGTGCATAACCATAATAACATTTGTTCTAGAAAACTGTAAAACATGTTGCCTATCTGAACAACTGAATTTGCACTGCGAACGTTGTAAGCTGGATCTTTTATATTTTTCTACTCGCAGGTGTTTTCTTTGGAGGAGTGTGTATTGGAATGGCTGGAGTAGCTTCCCTGATGGGAAGCGTCCTGCAGGTAATCTGAATCACCATGAACACAAACTACTGCAGTCATTTATTGCTCTTCAGCTTCACCATGAGGTGAAAGTTGCAAACTACAGGGTAAACTACTTTTTTCTTTTCTTGTCTTTTTTCCCCCCCTTTTCTTTTCAGGCTGCTCTTTCTATATTTGGCATGATAAGCGGACCGCTCCTTGGTCTCTATCTATTAGGCATGTTTTTTCGCACATCAAACTCAATAGTGAGTATTTCCTTGCCCTCAGACTTCTACTAGCACAACTGCACAACCTGATAACACATAAAAAAAAAATATTGCCAAAGTAATAAAAATGTGACGTCCTAGAGAAAGTAGTTCACTGTGTTCATATTTACTTTTCAGGGAGGACTTGTGGGAATGATCATTGGTCTAGTGTTGACTCTGTGGGTGGGGATCGGAGGCCAGATTTACCCACCAACAGCTGAAAAGACAAATCCTCTTCCACTCACCACTGCAGGCTGCAACAACACAATAGGCCAAAACTATACAACAATAACTCCCTGGACCAGTCCAGTGACTCTGACCCCAGAGCCTGAGTGAGTCATTTTACATAAAAGACTGATGCAAAACCTTCTTTTGCTACTCAGCAACACAGTAAAAATCACAGTAAACTTTTATTTAACAAAAAAAAACAAAACAACAACAGCTGTTTAATAGCTGTCTAAAAAGGCATAATTAAACCTCACGAATCAACTACAAAAAGTACAAACTTCTCTGGAAGTTTGTACTTTTTGTACAAAAAAGTGAAGTAAATGAAAAATGAAAAAGTAAATGAAAAACAGGAGAAAACGTAATCAACAAAAATGGCTTCTCACGCCTACTAGGCTGCTGCAGTGAAGGATATATACAAGGTGAACAAAATACACGAATAGCTACTTGACAACTCTATTTACAGCTATTTACAAAATTGAGGTACTAACGCCAGACACACACACACGAGGTGATACTTGCAAATCACTTTGTCAAAGAAACACTACACAGCAACGAATCAAAACACAGGTTCTTTGTTGGATGGTGGAGGTTAGGAGAGAGAGGAGGGGGCCAGGTGGCTGTCATCTGGTAGTTAAGTACGGGAGGTGATTAGCCAATTATCTAATCCAAGGACAGGAAGAGACTCCACCCAACTACCAGGCACGCCCAGGTGTCCACCTCCTAAGAGAGAGGGGAAAAAACCCACAGCCATCCTCTGGTGGGAGGAGTCACACATAAAACAAACACTGCCAACATTAGATCATCATAACACAGTTGTCAACAGTTGAAAACAGTTGTCTGCTTTAAACATAAATTTTTATATATAGTCTAAGTATATTAAAATGAGTGATTTTTGTTCATTTCAGTTATAGGCCTCCTTTAGCAGACACCTGGTACTCTCTGTCTTACGTCTACTTTTCTCTGTTGGGCGTTCTGACCACAATTGTGTCTGGCCTGCTTGTGAGCGTGATCACAGGTGAGATATTACTTTTTAGTCTTTACTTTAAGCACTGCAGAAATCTAGTCCATAATATTATGGTATTTCAATTATATCAAAACAAGGATAAAATCGAGGGAGTATGTATTTTTTTTATACATATACAGGTGGATGTAAGCAAGACAAGATGAACTCAGAGCTGTTTGTGAGGAAGAATGACTTAATCTGCTTCAGCTGGTGCAATAAGTCAAAGGTATGATGCTTACCCCCTAACAAACAAAGGAAGAACATATCAGCAACCCTCTCCAAAATAAACAAAAATTTGGTGTTATAAATATAATATGTTTTTAACCCAATACAGGAATCAGACATCACAGAGAAGCCTTCAGCAAACATTTGCATGGGAGCTGACAACCCAGGATTCAAAGAAGACGACGTGATGAGCAAAGATGTTGAAAAAAACACAAGACTATAATATTAGTCTATCAATGACATATTCTGTCTTGGGGTCATTTTAATTAAATTTAAGAAAATATACTCACACACATAAAGCACAAGCATAACCCCTTTATTAGCATCTGATGATAATGGTATTTATATTGATACTAATCATGTGTCGAAAATCTAAAATTGAATCACTCAAGAAATCATTGTATTTATGTTACTGACATATTTCAACAAGACAGAAACAGTGTATTTAATGCAATGATGGAAAAAGAAATCATTGTTTATTCAAGTCAGATGCCCACAACTTCTGCTCCCCATGGGCTGAGATGTTCCCGTTTCATGTTCACTTAGACAACCTTGTTATTCCATTTATCGCCCTTTATAATTGCTGATACCAGATTACAGTTTCATAATCTATCTGAACATAATTTTATGCCGACACAGAGATACATATTGGAGTATTGTTCACTTTTACTGTACAGTGTGATTACTGTTTTGAAGGAAGTGTTTTGAAACATGAACAATGGCTGTTTGTTTATTACAGAGTTGCTTTTATATGGAAACTATTGCACTCTTTATGAGCTGCCTGTACAAGCTGGTAACAAATTTGTCAATAAAATATTTTGTAAAAAAAGTGTACTCAGTAAAAAAAAAAAACCTTAAATCACACATACACAAAAAACTCTAAAAACTTTAGTGCATGAACTGTACACACACCCCTTTTTCTCTCTCCCTATATATATATACATGTATTGTCTTTTGTATTGTCTTTTTGGTAACTGTCTCTTTAAGGCTTGTAAAATATGTTTGCCATAAAGAAACAGACGCTGATCTCTGGACCGACTTACAACAATGCCTTTGTCTCCTTAGTAACAAACAGTAGAGGAAGTTTAAGGGTAAAACTGCCCTGCCCACATTCACCTGCCATAGTATCAGCCACTTTCAATCCAGGAAGTGAACAGTCAGTTGAGACATGGAGGCACACTTTCAACCAGAGAATTAAACTAAACTAGGCTGCTGTTTTCACTCTTATTAACTAAACAAGGTGAGCTGGTTTTTCTTTCTTTTTTTTTTTTTTAGAATTAGTTTTTTAAACGGTTTGAATTTACTTAAAATTTCACAAGAGGGATTTACATGTTTGTGTAATTTAACTAAAAAGATCACATCTAGTCTTGTTCAGTCTTGATTTCAGCTAATGTTTTTCTTTCTAGTTCCAGATTAAAAGGCCATGGATGTAAAGTTTACTGCCCTGGCTTACTGCCATCTGGCCCTTTTGTTCAGTGTGGCCCAAACAGAAAATGGGACTAGCACTCCTCAACCAACCTTTAGCTTAACGACCCTTACGACACTAACTCAGTCTGACTCTACTTCACCAATCTCAAATTTGACTGAGGAGACAACACTATATACCAGCACACAGTTGGATAACAAAACTGTCGTTAGCACCACTGCGGCAACAACCGAGAGGACAAGTCACTACCAGACTTCTCAGTCAGCAACCACCTTGACTCCTCTAACAAACAGTACAACTCTGAGGACTACAAGCTCTAGCACTCAAATGTCAACATTTACTGCACAAACAACGGCAGCAATCCAGACCACAGTAGATAACTCAAGTACACCAAGTACTCCAGTAATTACAACTGAAAATGCAACTCATACTACCATGAACAGAACCAGACAAGGTAAGCATAAGGCTCCATTCTTATCTGCAGTTTTATCAACAACTATTCATTTTTTTTTAATATAATTTGCTGATTATGGTAATTCTTGCTGTTTTACTTTGTTGCTAGATGTGGGCCTCAATGTCTCTGAAAGGAATATGACTATTGTCTTCAGCACTGTACTTGGAGCATTTGCTGTGTTGTTGGTTTTTCTTATGTTTCACAAATGCAAACAGAAAATACAGTACTTGCACCAACCTCTCAATAATGCTCAATACACAGGTAAGGGACTCTCCTTCATCAAACAATTAGTTCAAACCCTTTTATTTACTATTGGCAATTAAAAATACTAATCTAATTTTAAACAGATACATTTGTGGCAGATGATGACACACTCGTTATTTCTGGAGGACTTTATGATGGCCATCCAATCTACGACAACGTACCAACAGCTCCTGCAGACCAGTCTCAATTCCACCTTGAGTTTCTCCATTAAAGACACAGAGTTTCTATAGTCTGAAATCTACAGTTTAGGAGTGGGTAAAACCAATGTACTGAACTAATGTAACCAATATACTTTCAAGACTGAAATACAACTCCTATGATGGTCTTTATAAGAGAAAAGTGGTCCTTAGAAAAGGAAAATGAGAATAGGTAGGACATGCAAACAAGTACAAAACTGATTTTTGAGAACATTGCTTTTATTTTTACAACACCAGAATACATAAATATATTAACAGAGTAACTTGTAACAACTAGAAATTGTCAAAGATCAGCAACATAACCTTGTGATAGAACATATTAGATTTCACGTTAACATTAAAGATGAGTTATTCCAAACATTAGCACAACAGCAAAGTAATACATAAGTAAAGACATTGACTCTGTAGTAGGTAGAAATTTAATCCTAAACACCCATAAATAAACTTACTAAAAGCTGGCATCTTAACACTAAAACCTTCTTCTCATTGACACTATGTTTTAGTTGAACCATAGAAACATATTCCATTCATGTTTTTGTGTTATTTTTAGTCTATTTGTTATTCAGTCAATCGTGTATTATTTATTCATTCTCAATAGAACTGTATTTCAAGTCACCCACCTCTACCAATATTGTTATTACTGCTAATCTGACCTAACAGCCATACTTAGGCAAAAATCTTCTCATTGGTCTTCTTCTTTTTTTTGTCACAGCCAGTAACAGCTGTCCAACCAGCATCTCTCATTCTTTTCATTGCAGCCAGCTTTAAGGAGTTTCCTGGTGATTTATGAATGAGTGGGCTCTGATTCTGTAAAAATAACACACACATACACACATATAGGGATTTTTAAAAATCAAAGTAAGTATATTATATGCCACTTTGTTGGATCATAAAGGCACATTACCTTTTTGAGAATGTGGAGTTTACATTGTGAATCTGAACTTTTATGTGCAGGTGTATTTGTAAAGGTCTATCAAGACAAGAAACAGAGGAATACACATTAATCTGTCCTAGCGAATTTGCAGAAATGGTAAAATCACATTCACATAACCTGCAAGGTTTATGCCATTATTTTTTTTAAATATTAACAAGCCCCCACCCCCCAACCCGAAAAAACAAAAACAAAAAAACATTGCTTACCAAGAGATCATTTTGATCTGAGCTGTCAGACTTGGGGTCAAGTTCAATGGCGCTCTTTCCCCACTGTGCTGACTGTTCAGAAGGGGGAGTCCTTATTCTGTAGGACTATAGGGGAGTAAATGTCAGTGAATATATTCATATTTTTTCAATTTTGGAAAATGTCAGAATGGTATACTATATTACTTTGATCTTTGTTGTTCCAGCAATATGGTTTGTAAGACTTCTTGGGGTTTTCATGTCTTCACTGCTGATGCACTACAATTCAAAGTCAGTGCAATCATTTATCATAAAACTTAAAGTAAATAAAAGCATATCGATACATGAATTATGTTATAATTTATTCTGTCACTATAGCCATTTTATATATCTACTTTATGAATAGGTTAAATTGCAGTCTACCTTGGATTTTGGTGTTCCACATGATGCTCTGATAAATTCAGTAGCAGATTCCTTAACAACAATTCAAACAAAGTTGTTTCAGAAAAAGGCTGTGGTAATAAGGTTACATTGTACTGCTTTGCACTCACACACAAAGTTTTGCAGTCGTTCCCTACAGCTATAGGCAATTATTAGCAGAGTCTTCCATGTGAACTGACTAAGAGTATCTGGCGCCAGTATTCTCAGGCCCTATAAAAGCTGCTAGCTTACTAATCTCTGAGAGATGCTCTTCATGAATTTAAATGTTTTCTCCAATGCGTAACACCCATGCTCATATTCACACTGCTATTCTTGTTAATTGATGGTTTCTAAATAAATCTGTCAACTCTGGTGCATTTTTAGTTCCCATGGCACATTTGAGACTCTCATTCAAACATATGAATATATACCTTTTTTTACTCATACACAATAAATACATTTAAAATCTCTTTTCTTTCTCTAAATAAAATCCAGGTGAATAATAAACATTATGAATAGCTATAGGGCTACAAATTGAAAGGCTAAAACACCATGTCCACCAAAAAAAACAAACCAAAAAATGGCAATTAAAATCTTCGCAAATATTATGGAAAAATAATAAATGAATCTATTTGTCCGTTTTGATCCACCAATCACTTAGACCAAATATCGGCTGATCCTGACTCAGCTGAATGTTGTTCTGTTTTTGTCTTTACCTATAACCTGGTACCATGGATTATTTTTCTAATAAATACCAGTTCAGCAAATTCAATTGGGGTTGTATTTATTTTTCATAATACCCAAAACCAAGGATGTACTATATCTGAAGTAGAAAAGGCTATTTTGAGAAATCTGTAGTTATAAAAACCTTAATCATCTGATTTTCTAAGCTTACCTTAAACAAAAATGTCGGAAACAAAACGTGCTTAATCTGTTGAAAACATTTTGGTCGATAAAACTCACATATGTTGTACGAGTGGCCAAACTCTGACCATCTTTGCTGTAGGAGGAAGTTTTCTTGGCCTTGAAGAAGTCAAATGTGTGACTCTTTGAAGAGTTCTCTTTTGGAACCTCTGAACTTTTCCCTTGTTTATAGTTTGAGGCAGCTACCTGTAGTAGTACACATACAATTTTGGGTCAACTAAAAGTAATGACAAAGAATGCCATCTAGTGGCAGCCTATGAGCTGCATGCACTGTACCTGTTTGTCGCTCCCTTGTGACAGCAGAGTCCTTTTCACAACAGACATTTCCTGCTTCAGATCACTTGTTTTGTTTCTGAGGTTTTTCTAAATTCAAAGTGTTTGTTACATTGTGAGCTGTCTCTCTCAGAAGTATGACAAACAAACAGCTGTATTCATAAATCCAACATAAACTGATTTAAAGTAGGATATACCTTCTCTCTTGTTTCTGCCTTCAGCTCTTTCTTCAGCCTCTCATTTTCAGACTTATGCTTTGAGAGGTCCAATTCCTGATTTAGAGAAATTTGTGATGCAAATGTTAGGATATGACATATTTTCTGGTCAATCATTATTAGTGCTACTTAGCATGTTTCTTGGTACCAGTGATTTTTCACGAGCAGTCGCCTCCATCTCATTCTTCTTCTTCTCTTCAAGTTCTGCGTCCTTTTCTTGGACCATCCGGTCATACTGGCTCTGGTAGTGACAAGTTGGGTTCATTCCAACACAATATACATGAGACATATTTATCAGACAGCAAAAAGGCCATTATAATAACTTTACCTTATGTTTTTCCATCAGAGTGACCATATCTCCAATCTTATGCTGGCATTTAAGTTCTGTGGCCTCCTTGTTCTTAATGGCTTCTGCTGCTGTTATTCTAAGTTTCTGGACCTACAACACAAATTGGTTCTATTATTGTAAATTCAATTTGAAGGAGGTAAATGTTAATTAAATTGAAATTACAAATTGAAAAATAAAAAAGTAACCTCTTTCTCAAGTTCTGCTGCAAAAGTCGATTTTGACTCAAGAGCCTTGAGCAGTTTCTCATGTTCTTCTCCTTTGAGTTGTTTAAGGTTCTGGGACTCATTTTGAAGGCTGCTGATCTAAAGATTAAAGCAGCATCTTAATTTTCCAGTCTAATACTGATTAGCTTAAATAGTTCACATACGTATTAACAACTGGAAAATAAAAACACAAAGCAAACCATCCCCATACCGTTGTTTCAAGGTCACTGGATTTTGCAATCTCCTGTGCCATTTGTTTCTTAAGCATTTTATTCTGAAAATATACAAGTGAGGACAATAAATACCATTCCACTCCTTTTATAGCTAGAGTTTCATGGTCATTACAAACCTCTTTCTTGTATTCCTCCTGGGCTTTAAATTTAATTTCATATTGTTTTCTGAGTTTGCACAGCTAAAAAGCAAAGATTTTTTGTTTAGTTCCAGAAAATGATCAATAACAACAGTATTTGCAATTTCACATTTTTCACTCACCTTTGTTTCCACAGCTTTGATCTGTTTTTCTTTTTCTGTGATTTTCACCTGAAGTTGCTCATACTGTTCACACAGAGCATAAAGAAGTCATAATGAACATGTTTAGAATAAGCATCTTTATAAATCCCTGTTTCTACTAATAATTTAGTTAAGATGCTTACCTTTTCTTCAATTTGCTTCTGCAGAGTTTCTGTTTGTACACATTTCCCCAGGATTTTGGTTTTGACTGCAGTTAACTCATCTCTATTGCATGGAAAATTAATATTTAAATCTCAAAAACTGTGCATTCCAATCAGGAAAAAGTATCTTTAAGCCTCTGAAGTGCATATTCACCGTAAAGTCTTGTTTTCTTCCACCAGCGTTTGAATTTCTCCATCGAGTTTTAATGCCTTCTCCTCACTCACCTGAGTCAAAACAGTTTTCAGAATTTGTGATTCATATAATAAATGAATTAATAATAATACAAATAATAATAAAAATGACAATAATATAATAAAATTCAAACCTTCATGTTTGCCTCAATAGTTTGCACGTTAGATAATCCATTTTCAAACTGCTCTTGAATGGCTGTCTTCTCAGACTGCAGCTCATTAAAGTTTGATAATAACTCTTCATACTTTACTCTTAAAAATGACATAAATAAAAAATGAAACATATTACAACAGCGTAATAAAATATTATATATGCTAATATGATAAAATGGCTGTCTATTAATAACTCACTCATTTTGCAAAATGTCTTTCCTCAGCTGCTCCATCTGAACGTTGCATTCCTTATTTTTCTTCATTTCAGTACACAGCTGTTCCTCCAGCACCTGCACTTTGATCTGCAGGTATATTGCAGAGAAGCAATGCATTGTATATTTCAACCCAATGAATATATTTTACTACCAAACACATAAACAGCTTTCTCTAGTGGATAAGAGGTGAGGGGATGAGAAACAAAATTAAAAACATGTAAATACCTGAGTCAAAGTGGACTTCTCCTGTAAATGTTCTTTTTCCTTTTCAGCAGCTTCACAAGCCTTTTTCAGTGAATCATTTTCAGCAAAAGCATTCTCTGCTTCTTTCTGTATCAGGGAAAAAGGACAAACAATTTTAAGTAT